GCCAAGCAAAAGCGAGAAGAAATGAGCAAGATTCAGGATGATATTAATCGTGAAAGACAGAGAATCGCAGAGAAAAAGGTTCAATTGAGTCACATTTGCTCCGAACAAATGTTGATATTTGATACAGGTCTCCCAGGCGCAGAGAAGAGAATGGGATTCTGGAAAACCAGGAGTTGGTATGTAGATGACTTAGATACCCGACTATCTCACTAATAAGATCAATTCAGACGCTTCAGACGAAGGAGCTAGTTCAAGGGGAAGAGGTAGGGGTCGTGGAAGGGGTGGCGGCAGGGGCAGAGGTCGAGGTGGACCTCCTAAATCAGAACAAGAAGAAGGAGGCTATGAAGATAGTTCAAAGGCTGTAAGTCATCACATACCTGCTCCATGACCGGTGCTCATGACTTTGCCCCAAGTATGCCACAAACAACGCTCCCGAAGCCATCCCTGCTTCAGACAATCAAACCTAGGTTTCATGGATTCAAAGACGTTGCCAAATTCAGATCTCAATCTTCCAACACAAGGACCCTCATAAGGGTTGAACAATCTTTCCAATCTCTAACTCAAAAGACATATCACCTCGTGGCCTGGTCTCTGCGCATATCATCAAAAGTCAGTGTTTATGCCATAGATGGTTTAGGTTGTGCATTGTGCTTACTCTATCTGCAGAGTGCGTCTCGTCCTGGTCGATTTTGGTATTTAGGATATTCTTCTCATACATACAACTAGCGAATGTCACATGTAACCACCTTCTTTCTTGAATGTATGCTGTCTACGTGTCCCAACGTGTTGAGCACTCAATGGTGCTGACGGCGCCACACAACTTGAACTCATCTACAATGACTATTCTGGCAAGTGGCTCAGATTATGGAATATTCAAGAACAAATTTATTAATAAAATCCTTGGAAAACTTTCCCAATTCCGATTAACAGGAAACTCTCTTTGGTCGAACAGTGACGCCGGCTGAACGACTACGCCAACACCAAAGGGCGCTCGCAAAGGCACAGCGAGAGCTGGACAGAGAAAGAACAAAATTGGAACAACAAGAGAAGAAACTCATAGCGGATATTAGGAAGAGCGCAAAGGCCGGACAGATGGTCAGTACAGGCATCTCGTATATGACCCCTTCACGTTCACCCCAAACCCAAGATGACCTCATGCACACACACTTTATCCATTTTATTTTCATTATTTTTATGAACCGCTGAACTCAAGATTGCCATCTAGAATGCTTGCAAGGTGATGGCCAAAGACCTGGTGAGAACGCGAAGATACGTTCAGAAATTTTACCAAATGCGCACCCAACTTCAAGCCGTTGGTCTACGAATACAGACTTTGAGAAGTAATCAACAAATGGCCGATGCCATGCGAGGTGCTACCAGAGTGAGGATTATCAATTTCATACTGGCACTAACTCTAACTGAGCGTCAAATTGCATCTAGGCGATGGGTGCTATGAATAGAGGAATGAATCTACCATCAATTCAACGCATCATGAATGAATTCGAGAAAGAGAGTGCTATGATGGACATGAAGGAAGAAATGATGTCTGATGCTGTCGACGATGTAATGGAGGATGATGCAGAAGACGAGGAGGAAGAAGGAGAAAAGATACTGTCACAAGTTTTGGAGGAAATCGGTATCGATGTTTCTCAGAAGCTGGGCGAGGCCCCGACTGCCCTTCATTCTGCAGCAACACCCGTGGCAAACAAGAAACAAGCGGTAGCACTGGGAGGAGACGATAGTCTTGGGGCGCCTTCCGGCGGTGGTAACGAAACTGTTACCTCAGCCGAAGAAGACGCATTGCAGGAAAGACTGAACCGATTGCGAGGACCATGAAGGGTGACCTTGCGTTGTCCAATTTATTGTATCTGTATGCTTAAACTGCTAACGTCGTGGCAATAAAAATGCTGATTAAGTTATAGAGGTATTTCAACCCGGTCTCGATTCGTTAATCCGGATCTTCATGACTGGCCTCTGGACCATTACTCGGTAGAGATGCGATTTGTCTGGTTGACGGGATCGAGCTTGTTGTCACGGATCGTGGCCTGTCTTCTAAGCAACCAGGCGATATTTTCGTAAACCACCAACGTTATACAAGTCCCAGGCAGTACCCTGACTATGTTGGTCCCGAGTCCTCGATAGAAACCTTTTGCTCCTTCCTGTTTCCATGTGATCCGAACGCATTCTCTAATATTAGGATAGAGTGCAGAGGTTGCGTCGTTCTAGTGGACGATTTAGAAAGCGGTTTAGAGGAACCGGTCTACTGTCTCACCTGAATACGAGCCCTGACAACTTGATAAGGATATGTTGCCGAAAGTGCGAAGAGTTTGG